GCCCGCGACGTGGGGGACGGCAGCAGCACGTCGAGCGCCGGCAGCGGTGGCAGCCCGGATCACCATCACCACGTCCCGCCCCCGCTGCTGCCCCCGGGGCCGCACAAAGCCTCCGACGGCAAGGCCATTGCCACCCGCAGGTCCCTGGACGACCTGTCGGCGCCACCGCACCACCGCAGCATTCCCAACGGTCTTCACGGTAAGGACGGCTGGGGCTGGGCAGCGCGTGTGCGGGCCAGAGGCTCCTCCCCCGGGAGCTGCCGCCACCGCACATCCGTTTTCCGCGGGGCACCCGAGTTGTGGCAGGGAGGTCCCAAGCCCACCCGCCGTGGCTCCTGGGGGTGTTTTTCTGGTCAAGTGAGGGAGCCGTGTGCCTACCCAACTCCCAGCCTGCAGCCAGAATCTGCGGTCAGGCGGGACCGCGGATCCCGGGATCCCGGGAAAGTTTCTCGCTGCTGAGAGTTGTCAGTGTTAAGTGTCCCGCATGGCAGGACTGGTGGGGGCGCCTCGGGCCAGCCTGGAAATCCTCACGGGGGAGAGGGAAGTTCTACACAGGAAACAAACTAAAAGGCCCTTTGAGCGCTAAAGGGTTTCTCCCAGCTTTGGAAAAGCAGGTGACCCCAAACCAGAGCAGCAGCCCCTGTGTGCCGTGGCCGGCTTCCTTCCGGCAAGCTGCGGGGAGCCGGAGGCGGCTGGAGCTCGGGCTGGGAGGCTTCCTGCTTTGCTGCTGTCCCGCACTGGCAGGGTGCAGGGACCCCCTCAACCTGGGCCCTCCCGCAGGTTTTCCAGAAGCAGCGGTGTGGGGCTGCATCCTGGCTTTTCTCCTCCGCATGCCTCAGTTTCCATAGGCTACAAGTGAGCCCTGCCTTCTGGATTTGAGCTGAGGTGAAGCCTTGAAGGGGTTTTGCCACCTTGCCGGAAGTGTCAAGCTCTTGGTGACCAGGGTGTGGGTGTTGGACTTTGGCCTCCTGTGCTTCTACAGGGCCCAGGGCAGAGGGCCCCAGCTGGGATCTGGGGAGCAGCGCCCCCTCTTCACTGCTCCCCTGCTTCCTCCGTTCAGCCACATTTTTGGTGGCTTGGCTCCCAGTGCTGGTGGCAGTCGCAGCTGCTGGAACTATTTGCCCGAAGGTGGAGATTAAACAGCCCTTTCTGGTTCTCTTAATAGGCTTTCCTAGCTCAGACACAAAGTAGCCAGGCGCGCTGACTGACTCTTCTGGCCCACAGCGCCTGAGCAGGGTGGGAGCGAAGCTCTCTCCCCTTGGGTGGCCGAGAGGCTTCTGCAGTCGCCCTGGTGGGCGTGGCTGGGGTAGCTGCTGGCCTCTGCCAGGCTGGGCGATGTGGACTTTTCCTTCACCCTGCTGGGCTGGTGTTCAGGGCAGGACTTGTTTGGATGGCGATTTTGTTACTGATCTGAGATCAGCCACTACAACTCTGGTTTCGCGTTGTAACTCTGTATCCACCCCACACCTCAGGCTCCTCAACAGCCAGTGGGAGTCTCTCCAAGTTAGGGGTTTAGTGGGTTAGGGAGGCAAGGTCTGGGGGGTGTGAAGCCCCAGTCTCTTGGGTCTTCCCTTCTGGGGAGCCTGGAGAGGGTCCGGTTTCTGGTTTCTCCCAGTGTAACACTAAGAGGAACGGCTGGCTGCTTTCCCGGGTGGAGGCTGTTTCTGCTTTACAGCCCTGTCATCAGGGACACTCGGAGAGCTCTCTGCAGGGCACAGACGTTGGGGTGTTGTGGGTGATTTGCTGGGAAGCTCTGTTAGGTCTGGGACAAGGGGACTTGGACCCCCCCTGGCACAGTTTGGGTTCAGTCGTGAATGGTGCCAGAATGGAGAGAGCACAGAGCTGGACCCGAGGTTTTTCAGCCCGTTGGGGGGCGGGGCAGGGCAGACCCCCCTTCCACTGATAAGGTCCCGTGTACACTTGGAACAGGACCCCTGCACATTTGTGGTGGCAAAGCTTTGCCCGGGAGTGAAAGCAAAATGCAGCGTTATAATCAGACATTTCAGTTCCGGGTGGCGTGTCAGTGTTTAGTCTCCCAAAGGCACGTGGCCTTGATGTTTTCCCAGCAATATGGATAGGGTGCCTGGAAATCAGGAAAGTCCCTTCTCTGAAAAACTACTGCTCTGTGCCAAGACCGGTCACTTTAGGCTGTGTGAAGAGCAAGCTGGAGAGAAGAGGTGACGAGAGCCGTCTGGGCCGCGGCAAGTGTCCACCCCATCCTGGGCCGCGGCCCTAGCCTCAGCCCTTCTGCACAGGACCCTCCATGCCCATTTTGTAGACCAGCAGTTGGATCCCAGAGGGGCTGGAGCGGCTCCGGGCATCTCCCCCTGTAGCCAGGGTGGACCCGGTGGCCTCTCTCCCTGGCTGCTGTCATTAACCAGCACTCGCGGGCGGCTCCCTGCTCTTGAATCCTGACCCAGGCTTGCCCTGCTCCCCCATCCTGGGGTGCTTCACTTCCTTATCAGGGACCACCCAGCAGATGGCTGATAACCCCGTTCTCCAGGGTGCCCCTGCCTCCAGTTGGAATCCCCTGCTCTTCCTCTCCTTTCCTCTCAGGCAGGTAGCCTCTGTCTGCTCTTCCAGAGAGTGGCGCAGAGATCCGCATGAGGGTCAGTGCACAGTAGGTCTCAGCAGCTGTCACCTTGTCACGGAGGAACCCGGGAGGCCCCTTTGGGCACTGGCCTGACTCTGCCCCCTGGCAGCCTGTCTGGGTTGCCTGCTGATTAGTGGGGGTGGGATTCCTCTGCTGGGTGGGGAGGGGGAGAGGGGAAGACCCTGCAGCCAGGCGGAGGAGGCTTGGTCCAGGTACCTTGGGGGCTGGCCGCAGTGTGATGTGCAAATGGCCCTCTGGCCAGTTAGCTGGGTGAGGTGTGGACTGGCGTGCTCCTTGCTCCATCCCAATGGACAGGCTGGCAGCGGAGCCCAGGCACCAGGGAGGCAGGTTTGTCCCCTGGAATTGGTGTGATCTTCAAACAAAAGCATGTTCGGCCCTGCCCCTCCCCCACCCTCCCCCACCCTCAGGGCCCTTTCCCCTCTGGGCTGCCCAGGCCCCCTCAGCTAACTGGGACCAGCAGCATCCCCATGAGCCTGTTTACCTTGAAAAGTTTGGATTAAAAACCTGAGCTTGTCAAAATAAGAAGGGCTTATTCTTCTGTGTGTGTTTTTGTTGGTTTAACGGGAGGGTGGCGTGAGGGTAATCTGGACCTTTTAAAAGGAGCCCGAGCTAGTTGGCCCTGAATCTAGGTCTTTTATGAGGGGCCTCCCGCCAGCCTCCCCGGCAGGGCCAGCTAAGAAGGCCCCTTCCTCCACCAGCCAGGCAGGGCAAAGGTCAGCAAAGCAATGGGGTGGCGCCTGGAGCCTTCTCCTTCCCGCCCAGCCTGACCCTGACCAGCCTCATGGCCTTGGGGTGCTGGGCCCTGGCTGCCCAAGGTGCTTGTTCCTAGGACCGTGGGGGGAGCTGTGGGCCTGTGTGGGGTGCAGTCTCCCCTCTGCCTGCCCAGTGCCCGTCGCTGCCAGCCTAGCTTCACCCTGCTGCAGCCGCCCCGCCGGGCCCTCACCTGAGCCTGCCTAGGACACAGCCTCCGTCCGCCCTTGGGGAGCACAACAAGCAAGGAAGCCCCGTTCATTGTGTGTTTGGGAGTTGTGGGGCGTTTCTAAACCGTGCTCGTCCACGTCACCGCGCAGAGGGTGGGGAGCCGGGGACGAGGCCGAGCCTCTGGGGTCTGTGGCTCCGGCGGCTGCGGGGGGCACCTGTGTCTGGAACCCTACGCCTCTCCCAGCTCGGCCCGCAGCACTGGCTGTGCTCAGGGCGGGGAACCCGCCGCCGAAGCCCCCGGCCCCAAGGCCGGGCCCCAAGCCCTGGGAACCGCCGGGGGAACCCGGAACCCCCCGTTCCCCGCCCGGGCCCGAAAAGAAACAAAACCGGGCCCGGAACGGGGCCCAAAAGAAGGGGTCAAGGAACCCCCCACTCTCCCTCCACTGTCATCTGAACCCCTGAGGATTTGCCTCTTTGCTTTGCGCAGGGTGCTAGGAGGGGCCCGTGTCAGAGCCCAGGGAGGCCTCTGAGCCAAGTGGAAGGAAGCCGATTCCAGGCGCAAACGTGGTCGGGGGGCTTCTGGAGCAAGGGGCGCGGAGGAGGGGCACGGGGACTCCAAGTCTCCTCGTGTGGATGGAAACAAGCAGAATGTTAAGGGGGAGAAGCACCTCGGCCTAGGAGCCGCTGCTGGGGGAAGGCTGGGCGCTGGGCAGCCCCTAAGTACTCACAGTCGGACTCGGGGGACCCAGGCAGGCTGTGTGGCCTCGGAGGGGGGGAGCGCCCCGTCAGGGGAGGTGTGCCAGCACCGGCCAGGACCTGGCAGAGCGCACTCCTGAGCCCTCTGCCATGGGGCACCCCTGACAGTTGTGTAGAGGGAACTGTGGGGAGGCAGGAGGGGGGGCTGGGCTCCTGGGAGAACTTGCCCTTCAAGGCGGCAGGGTTGCCGAGGGGCTGAGGCTCTCCTAGCCGGGCTTGGCAGGGACTCACCTGCCGCCCTGTCCCTGCTCATGACCGCTGACCTCCAGGGCCAGGGAGTCCTGAGCTTGGGGGGACTTGGCTGGGACAGCACCAGCACTGCAGCTGAGTCACCAGCTGAGCCCAGAGACGGCCAGGGGCCGCCCAGCGCCGGGCCGCGGCCGGGTCCCTGCAGCCCTGGGCTTCCCCAAGCACCCGGACGGGCGCTGCTCCGATGGTGACGTCAGGGTGGCCCCTTGCTAAGGCAGCACAGCCATTGTACCTGTTCTGCTGCTGCTGGGTGGCTTCTGGGGTGGCCTGGAGCTGGCGCCCGTGGAGGGTGTGTGCCTGGACAAGTCTCTGCAGAGCCCCTCTCTGGGGCCAGGCAGACAGATCAGGGGTGGCACCGGCCTGGCAGAAGGCGGTGGACCTGCCTGAACCCACTGTCTAACTGAGACTGAGGCCTGGGTGGTGGGGAGGGGAGGGTGGCTCCTTCTTCCTGCTCCCCACTGGCCAGAGACCTCCCCCCTCACTGCTGCTATTTCCTGTGCGGGAAGATGTGCTCCTTGGGCCTCTGCTCGCAGCATCACCTTGGAATGTGCCCTCCCTGCGGGCGCCCCTCCCACCCCCTGCCAAGTCTTGGAAGGAGCAGGCATCAGACTGGGCTATCTGGGGTGGAGGAAACGCTGTGCCTGGGAAGCGGAAACAGG